AAGGAAGGAAGGAAGGAAGGAAGGAAGGAAGGAAGGAAGGAAATCAAACCACAGGGAAAGTGCATTAGAGTTTGTGATTCAAATGTCCAGAATTTCACCCTTTTTGAAGGAAACTGATTCTAGCTAATAGTGGCAACATGGGAATAATATCACCAGGAGCAAAAGGCCTCCTAAATTTCAGTGTTGCTCTGCTTTTGATTCAAAAGGGATGGCAAAAACCCAGACATGGCCAATTTGGGATTTAACAGCAAGCTGGAAGGCAATTTGGTGTAGTGGTTAAAGGCGCTTAATTGGAAGCTGGGAGATGGTGAGTTCTAGTCCTGCCTTAGGCATGAAAGCCAGCTGGGTGATTCTGGGCCAGTCCCTCCCTCTCAGCCCTAGGAAGAAAAAACCATTTCTGAAAATGTTACCAAGAAAATTACACAAACTTCTTCCTGCAGTCACCAGGAGTTGAGACTGACTCAAGGGACCGTAACAGGATGGCTTTGACTCTGCAGCCAATCAGAACTGTCTGCAGGATGTCATTTTAAAAAATATGAAGGTGATTGCTTTTTTGTCCATATTTTGGACGAAAGAATATCATTTCCAATTTTGCAACTCCCTGCCCGCATCAAAGCAATGGCTAAAACATTGGAAGAGTGGAAGCCAGATGTTCTCACAAAATGCGCATCTCTTTGGGCCCCAATAGCTTCTCAAAAAAGCTCTTTTTGAAACTGACCATACCTTTAGAATATCTGATTCATAGTTATTGCCATTAAGAACTCCGTCTAAACATTTGTCACCAAGGTTGATTTCTGTTAGAAAGAAACCAAAATAAAGGATGTTATCTCTGCTCTGAAGGAGCTATGAGGTATTTACTGTCTCTTGTGAAATAGGCACAACTTCTTATGATTAAGCTGTAGATTCCCAAAGGAATGCCATTGATCTTAATTCTCTATTAAGTCATAGGGACTCAATTTATGTCATTTATCTATTTTTATTTATTGAAAAGACTTACTGATGGAAGGCAATTGCCTCTCGCGGAAGACAGGCTGGACCCAGAGAAGCAAAAGAATATCAGAAGCATCAATAAATTACAAAAGAGTGATTTTTCTGGGGGTTTTGTTGCGAGGGGAAAGGGAAGAAGATTGCAAACAGGATCATACCACAGAATGGTGCTAAACAGCCAAAGCAGGACACACGAGCACATCCCCAGTACAGATGACAGAAGGGCTGCAGACAAATGGTACCTGTGAACACAGAAAGGAAAACAAAATAAAGCCTCAATTTTCTGCCGAAGAAACAGCAGCAGATTGAAAAACCCCTTCAGTCATCAATTAAAAAAAGACCCAGAAACATCTGTTGCATGCAATGTGTGAGAGGCCAGGTTTTCCTCTTCTTCTGCAGCCAGAGGCTGGAAATGGCTGTTTATGGGATGTTGGATGTGAGCAGAGAGGCAGCAGAACCCTAAAATGGCAGCCGAGAAGGAATTGCCCGATGGGGAATAGAAAACAGAAAGATGGAGGGGTAGAAGCAGAAGGAAAAGCTTCTATGAAGTTGGGCTGACCAGCCATGATGGTGTTCAAGACATCTGGAGAGACTATGTTGTGGAAAGCTGATCAAATATATATTCTTCTTTTAAGAGGGAAGAACTCCTCTGAAGATTGCATGGGCCCAAGGTAGCTTCAAACACATTTTAATCTCATGGAGCCTCGTGCATATAATAGCTGGGCATCTTGTAAAAATAAATCAACTTTTAAAACAGATATCTTTGCTTAATGTAGTCTCAACGATTGTCTTGGACTGTAAATAAAGAAATAAATACATCTTTACTTAAAACAGATTACCAAAAAGAAAAAAGGACCCCCCCCACCCCCAAAAAAGTTTTCAAATCTAGCCACTCACAAAAAAACCCAACAACCCACTTTCAAGGGATCCCAGCTTTGTAAATATTTATAAGTATCCCATTTTGGAATCCTCCGCAGAAACCACTTGCCCGAAACAGGCTGAAATGCCCAAATGCTCCCTCTTGCTTACACTGCTGTGGGGCAATGTGCTGATTCTGTTCCCGTTCTGCTCTGCGGTCCGGCATTGGCTGAAAACAGCAAGTGCAGAACACGTGGCTTCCTTGAGACGGGCAGACATATTCCTGGACTGCTGCGTTGGGAGAAACAATGCATGGAAAACAGGAAAAGGGGGAGTACAAAACAGGAGATGGAGGTTATCCTCACAGGGAAATTTACTCAGAAACGCCACAGAAGTTAAAGAGGCAGACAGCCCCCCCCCCGCCCCCCAGCACAGTTATGGGCTGAAGCTCAGTGACTGATCTAAGGGCAAAAGGTCTGAGGGTCAAAGTAGGACAATTCAGGAGGAGAGGCAGATGGCCTGCAGACCATATCTGGCCCTTTATTTATTTATCTGTCGTACTTGTATACCACTTCGGTCCCCCAAGGATCCTAAGCACCATACATATCAGTTAATTTAATGCACCCCTCAGTGAACTTCAAAACCTTTCCCTGAGAGATCAAGTCAGGTCTCTATCAGTCCTTTCCTTTCATCTTGGAAAGCGTTTGGGGTGTTGGAGAGCAGAAGGTCACAAACTACCTCCAGGAGTTCCACCCTCAGACAGAATTCAAGTTGCCCCCATTGAACCAAAGGATTAAGTAAACAGAGGATCCCAAAGAAGATGCCAATGGACAATGGGTGGAAAGCAATTTCCTCTCTGAATTGTCAGCCTCCTTGTAGGATTCACTTGACAGGGAAAGACAACGAAACTAGGGACCCAACCCTGGGTGAAGTCTTTCCCAAAATGGATTAGCCTCTAGAAGAGTTTCTCAACCTTAGCAACTTTAAGATGAGAGGACTTCAACTCCACGCATCTTAAAGTTGCCAAGGTTGAGAAACACCACTCTAGAAGATAACTTCAGAACCAGCCACTGGTAAATGCTAAACTACTTGCCTCACTGCTGTGAAAGCTGATCTCCACCCATGCTCCAAATGACCATTTCCAATAATAAAGGAAGTCCTGAAGCACACAAACGCACTTCCCCACACCGCAATATCAGAACTATCACGCAAAGGCAGAATAACCAGTACAAGGCCTGAGGCTTCCCCGCAACCCACATTTGACTGGTGCACTGAATGGAAAAACCAGGAGTTCCCTAGAAGCAAAGATCTCGATATGCTTGCTAGAAGGTGCAAGACACCCCTCACCTTTCCAGCCCCTGAATATAGCTCTTAGATGCTCTGACCTGTTGGAAAGTTGGAAGAAGTCGATGGGGAATCTCCAGGGACCTGCCCAGGTTCTGTTTTCCCTTCCTGCTCTGGAGAGGCGAGAGGTGGGACAGTTTGCCGATGATAACCTGGACATTGCCGGCATAAGACATATGGCTGACTGCAAAGAAGGAAAATCACATTCCTGAAACTGACAAGGTGATTGCTACGAAGTTCTGTTCCACCCTGAAGAGCCCTGAGCCACCTTGAAGACTAAGTGCTCCATTATTGCATTAAGCCAGAGAGCAGCAACTTCATTGGCCATCGTGTCTGTCCTTGTCCGGCGAGACTTTACTGTGTGTTTATTCCACACAGGTAAGGTTCTTCCCCACTTTTCTCAGAATACTAAAACTCATGGTCACCTGATGAAAATGACTGGCAGGAGAATCTGGGCAAACTGTCCTCCCCCGCCCAAAGGATGTCTTCACTCAGTACCTAATTAATTTGTGGAACTCACTGTCACAAGACATAAGGTTTTAAATGGGAATTAAAAGACTTGATGGAGAATATTATGTCAGTGGAGGACTCCTATTTTCACGTCCTACATGTGGACTGCCCACTTTAAAGTATAGAAACCTTTTAATGATGGGATTAAGACAATGAAAATAGATCTGGATGTCCTTGGCTGGAACACCCAGTAATTCAAGCTGCAAGACTTTGATTGGACTCTTTCATTTCCCTATATTTCTGTTCCGAGATCATAAGCCACTCCCTGGCCCTGCCAGATGGAGAACCCTGATTCAAATCTGGCACCATTCCTCGGACATCCTGCACTCTTCTGCTGTACCACCAATTTCTCAGACAAGCTTCAGTAAATAGTGGTTTTATGAATATTGCTCACAAACTGAGAACATCAGCTTGGTTGCAAGACAACTCTCCAAAACGTATTGCGCTGCCCACGTGGCTTTCACCTAATATCAGAGGATTCACTGTCCACATCTGACAGATCCAGCAGGTCTTCTGAACTGCCTTCTTCATCCGAAAAGGACCTTCGCACCTTTGGCTGAAGCATGTCCTGAGTGATTTTGTTCCGGGCATCCATACTTCGGATATCTTCTTCATTACGACACTTATCTACAAAGACAAGGAAGGGACTTCTGTTTTGAGGAAGAATTGTTCCTTAGGATCTCAATGGAACCTACTTGGGATGAACTCCCAAAGCAGCTTACAATTTCAATGCATTTGAAAAGGTACAAGATAATAGAGATACATGTGTGAATGGATGGTGCCTCTTAGTTGTTGATAGTTGATAAAGTGGAGTTCTAGGTTATTCTCCTTCAATCTGTATCCCAGGGTGGTCCCTCCAGTCTAGGAGAACCCGGCACCTTTCAGTCCCCTCCCTCCAGCTGTGCCAGAAGAAAAATACAGAATATTCAGGAGTATGAAACCAATTTGTACAGCCTGGTATCTTTACAAGTAATGAATGGATGAGTGGGCTGCAATTATCTCCACAGAATGTACATTGGAGAAGAACATGTTCCATAGTTGGCCACGAATAGTCCTTGAAGGAGATGCTTCTGTATTTTCCTTCTAGCACAGTCAGGAGAGAAACTTCAAATTCCTCCTCAAAAAGACACTTTTCCATGAAGTACTGAAGATGTTCCCTAGACAGGTAATGAAACGTCTGCAAGAAAACAACCAAGCTCAGAAAACCCCAAGGACTCCACAGTTCAACCTTGAGCTACATATATTCTCTTCTATTGAAGCATTATATATAAACTTTTAATTCACTTGCCCGGCTAATGCTCTAATCAGAAGTACCAGCACTAATTGCATACACAGTATAGTGTGAATCGGTTCTCAGACCGATAAGGATTTAAGTAGAAACTACTCTTAGCAGCAGACTCCCCACCATCTCAGAACAGAGACCAGCCTCTTCACTGCTCCACCAGAACGTTGTGAAGAAAAGTCTCAGGAAGTTCCCCACTTTAATGTATGCAGAGATATATTGCTTCTTAATTGAAAATAGTTCATTGGCTGGAATTCTTGCAACACGTACATGCAATGCTAAATTGTAATAAGGGGAAAAAATGACACTAGTATTGTAATGACAAAAATGCTTGCAGATTCCATGTTCCCCACTTGCCTGGGTGTTGGATGAGATATGCTTCCACCAAGTTGTTTAAAATATGGTTTTTACAAATACGTTCCACTGGACAGCGGCAAGTCGGACAGAGAGAAGAGCGCTCCATCCACCCTGAGTAGCAAGCAGCACAGAAAGTGTGCATGCAGGGCTGCAAACTGAAGACAGGAACATGGGAAAAAGGGTGAGAGTGTGAAAGACGATAGGAAGCAATTGGTCAACAGTGTTTCTGATTCTAAAAGTCATTTGGAGGATTAGGCACAAGCCCCCAAGCTTTGTAAACCAGCTTTGGATGAAATTGGAACTAAGCAACTCAAAAGAGAATTGTAATTCAATCAAACCATGATGTTTTTAATTAAACAAAACACAGGAAGATAGCCAGAAAGGGGAGGAAAGCAGTAATGGAAGCCCAGAGTTCCCAGTCTTGCAAGTGTGATGGATATGGGAATGACCTTGGGAGATAGGAAGAAGACCCGTTGCCTCAGCTGCAAGTCTTCCTCTTGTCTCCCAAAGTCACTCCCACACACCATCACAGCAAGTCACCCAGGACTGGCTGGAAACTCTTGGCTTGTGTGTTCCTTCCCCTTTTTGCCTATATGTTTAGTTTACTGATCACTGTTGTTACTTCCATATGAGCAAAACATGGTTTGAATTAGGCCACCAAACGGTTATGACAAAACACCAGGCTTGTTCCTGATCTCCAAACCATCCCTTGGACAAGACCTAACCTAGTACAGGCAACAGCTTCAATTATCTTGGATCATCAAAGAATGTAAGTTTTAGACCCTTTAGAGTTTCCTTGGCCAACGGAGAAGAAAAGGTGAAAAATAAAATTACAAGTTATGTGGCTAGGAATTGCTATGACATGGAAGTCTGATGTTACTCATGGATCCCTTGGGCCCAATGCAAGCTCAAGATATCATCAAATACTCCAGAAGCACCTTGATTTGGTCTGCCGGCATTCAAACAGTTATTGGACGACAAGCCATCATTCTTTTTGGAACAGTTTAGCTATTTTCTTGCTTTGGTTCTTAATATTCCTAAAGATACCTAAAGCTGGAAACTGGTGAATCATTTTCGTATTGCCAGATCCTGGAACATTAAATTATATCCTTCTTGGGAGTAATGATATATGAAATGTCGGAAATGTCAGTGGCTAAATTTACCCTCAGGATCTTAAATTTTTCAACTAAGGATTATTTATTTCAATTTGGTCTTCATTTTCCAGTTATATGAACAAAGAATTCCCTAACAGGTTACCTTCATCTATATAAATGTCCTTCTGGCCAGCTATTTATTGAATATGGATATTTAAAATTATTTGTATCCCTCCTTAAAATTCCATATACTGTAGCTTTGCACATGTGTGTGTATGTGAATGGACTTTTTGTTGTTGCTGTTGTTTTTATTCTTGTTTTCTCCCTCATTTGTTTTCTTCTTTTTGAAGTCCTGCTTATTTCAAAATTCAAAAATAATCCTTTTTTTAAAAAAAAATCTGGCAGTTGGTACTGCTAATTCACTGAAATCTAGGCAGGGTGAAAGGAGGGAGCTGTTACATGTTAATCAATGGTCATCTCATAGCCATGTACAGTGGAGTGTGTATTTAATTTTCACAACCAAAACACACAGATGGTTGAGGAGGTCTGGAGCCTTCTTTGACTTGCTTCTACACATTTCATTACTGGAGGTGTCTTGGTCCAACACCATAACCACTACACCACACTGGCTCTCACATTGTGGCTGATATATAACTTGGTGGTTAACTAGGAATGCCTAATGCATTGTCCACATGGCAGTGAAATTGGAAACTGATTGGCTGAGCCAGGAGGCCTGTTTCAGAATGTTCCATGGCTGAGGAAACTGATGCAACAAGGGAGACTGATCCACAAGGGGCTATGGAGTAGCCACAGAGCAAAGGAGCATTGGGACACATGGGTGGAATGGTGGGGCTTGGAAAGGAAGGGGTAAGTGCCTACAGGAAGTGAGGTGAGAAAGCCAGAACCTAAGGGAGCTAAAAGAAGAACCAAGGACAAAAATTGGACATACAGCCCAAATAAAGAAAAAGGTGGGTACTGTTGATAGAATGGGAGTCATCAAGGAGAAGAGAGAGCCATGAGAACATACAGGTGCAAAGGTTAAGCCTTGATTAGTAGTTGGGAATCTGTGGCATTCCAAATATGCCTGAGCTACTACCCCCAGCAGTCTTCTCCAGATTCGGTGAGTTGTGATTCAGCAACATTCAGAAGTCACAGGTTGCTTGCTTTAGACCTCAGCGAACAGCATTTGGCCTACTAGGCATTATGATCACCAGGTGACCCAGGAAAACTGACGGGTCCCTTCTAAGAAAAATGAGTTCCACTTCTTGAGATTAATCAACCAGATTACTTGGCTTTTGGGCTTTAAGTTCAAGAACAATAGAGGCAGCAGGGCAATCTCGCTTACTCAATCATATCTAATGGCAACAAGAGTGAGGTATGAACGTGATTCTCAACTGTCCTCCTGACAAAGGCTTCTTCTCTTTGAAGCCCCACTGGGGAGAAAATGAGTTAGTTCAGCACGTTCCTTCCATCCAACCTGCTTCCCTATGTTTCTCACCACACATGGCTTCAGCACCCAACCAACTCATATGGACTGCTCATTCCTATATTAGTCAGCTTGTGATCACCCCTCAGTCCATCTATACCTGACACAGTCATGAAGCAGTTCTTGGCAGATGATGCAGCTCAGGCTTTCTCCCATTTTGTCTGGCTTCATGGTTGCTGATCTGGCATCTCCAGGGTCAGTTTTCATTGCACATTCGTCTGGAGTGATCACTTGAAGGGCAGAGCTGGCACTGCCATCTGCAAGAGAGGTGCTTATGTCACATTGGGGAAGGCATGCAGAAAAAAGACAGCATGGAACCCAACACATTGTTGCTCAACAATCAAGAGCTGATTGTTGACAACAGAAATGAGGGCAGTTCTTTCAAAGGAGCAGAGAAAGGCCTTGGGTCTATATTCCAACCTGGGAAGGACAGGAGACCTGCATTCCAATGTGAGCTGGGGCCAAACTCAACAGCATCAACTTGAAAATTTGCCAGGCTAAGCATGTTGAGTTAGAGGTAAGGAAAGAGATCACTTGTAAATTCCACTCAGTGCATGAATAACCCAGAAATGAGATGGCTACAAGGCTGGCTCCAGGAGAAGTCTAGAGCTGAGACCTCAATTCTTCTTGGTTTCTTCTCGGTTGGTGTAAGAGGTCCTCCATGCCTTTTCCAACCCAACAATGGCAAGATTATTGCAGTTAAAGAAGGTTCCCAAGGACCCAATTGCCCAATATTACACTTCAAATATTACACGTCAAAACAATCAATGGGTGAACTGTTGTAATGTCACAGGGAATTTGCAAAATTAGCTAAGGTTGGCCATAGATGGCAGAAGAACACTATAGTTGCTGTGATGAAAGCTTGATTAGGAGCACAATTAAGGTTTTGGACCAAGAAAAGAACAAAGAGGTGGCCAAAGAAGTGAGAGGGATGAAAATGAGAAATGCAAAAACAAGGGGGTAATGTTTGGTAGGTGCGGAACCACATGCCTAATTTTGAGGAGGGGGAAATGACTTTGAACTAAGGTCTGTGCGCTGGTGCTAGGAAAGTATCAAATCTCTCACTGCAGAACAATAAAACCATTTGTCATATACTAACCCCTTTTGATTTTCTTCCTAGCAGGCTGGAATGAATCTTCTTTTTCTTCCCTGCCTGAAAGCTCTAGCATGGCCAGTGCTGTTTTCTCTGTGTCCCTCAAAGAAATATCAGAAGTTTCTGTATTTACAACAGGCTGCCTGAGTTCAAGCAATGCCTCTGGTCCAGATGGTACCAAGGTAAGCAAAGCAGGTGCAGAAGTAAAGGTGCAAGGTTGTGATCCTGCAAACATGGAAAGGGAGATGGTCATGGTAAGAGATCTTTGGATGCAACCAAATTGCTCTGGAGGAGCAAACTCTTCAAAGAAGAACAGCTCTAGACTCTACTTCCTGAGTCAATCTTTGCCTGTTCACCCCCTTCATCCTCCAGGAATACTATGGTCACCCCCAAATGATGATTCAACACTGGAGCCAAGGGGCTCAGCCTTTACCAGATATTGAGAGGTTCGCCTTCTCAGTGGATATGGACTCGGTGGGAGAGGTAGGAATTTCAAAGAGGTTTGACGTTGAAGTGGATGGCTGTGGTTCTTCATAGCTAGTCTGAGAAGCTGGTGGTGGTGATGCCGTTGAGGTCCCATCATCACTTTCTCTGGTACTTGAGGTATCTTTGGTTGTGTGGCATGCACTTTCAACCTTGGCTTCTGGAGATGGAGAGATGGGGAGTGAGGGGTGCTACCTCAACAAGGCCAGGAGATCTGTGAAGAGCTGAAATGCTTTCTGGTGGGGCCATGGCTGAATTCTTCCATGCCATTAGCCTTCACTCACCTCCTGGCTCATTAGCTGCATCCTTTTTGGGGTGCAAAGATTCATACAGGTATGCGACGTCTGAAAGAAGAGAAGATGGTTGAACTCAATAGACCAAAGCAAAATGGCCCTCCTTGTAAACTCTTACCAAGCGAGGCACAAATGCCACCCTCCTGTTCTTTTCTGTTTCCAGTGTTGTTGGTCAAAGAAACTGAGAAAGAACAGCTCATCTCCCTGCTCTCTCCCATTGACCCAACACAAAAAGCATTGGCTGGTTCACACAACATACCAGACTGAGCTAAAATGGGATTGGGTAGCTTGTTGTTCAGCACATTAGAGGAGGCCAGCCACTGCCTTAGCAATGTGCAAATGTGATCATCCCATTAAACCCAATGAGGATTCTTTTGTCTGAGCATCCCAAATAGGTGAATAGGGGTCCTGTAATCTGGGTTGATAATATAGCATGGAGTGGGAACCAAGTACTAGGTCAACTGTGAAGAGTTGAAGACTCTGTTGAGCAAACATGGGCAGACAAACCAGTACTCCTTTAGATACTTTGGACTACAATTCCCATTGACCACATTAACTGGGGCTGATAGGAATTGTTAAAAATGTCCAGAGGGCACCAGCTTATCTACCCCTGACTAGGAGAACTGCATAGCAAAATGGAAATGCAAGTTCAGCTCAAGCCTGGAGCTCCCTTGGTGATCTTGGATCAGTCACTCAACACAGGACTCAAAACTCCATGTTGAGTTACAAGTGGTTGCCTAGTTTGGGCTGCCTTTGATGAACCTAGTCAGTTGTAAGCTACTTAACAATCTACAGGTAAGCAATCTGTAGTTTTGCATGACCTATCAACCCAGTCTCCCTCAACTGAGTTGATCACACGATGTTGATTAAAAGGGTGAGGGCACCCTGCACTCTCTTGAGATAAGACAGAATAACAAAATGAAAATAATCAGTAAACAGAACACTTAAATAAAAAGGGGAGAAATCCCTAAGAAAGATGGAAGTACAAAATAACCCAATTTTGACTGAGCTTATCCAATGGAAAAAGCATGCTTGGGGCAGGGGGAAAAATGCAAACCCAAAGAAACGCAAAGGAGGCAAGGTGAGAATCAAACCCTTTGCAGCTGTGTAAATTAAGGAAGCAAGCACTACACAGATTTCAGTTGTGAAAATCTGGGGTAAATATAGGATCTTGGAAACTGCAAGAGAAATTTCCCATCTTCTTTTAGAATGAGTTGATTAAGACAGAGTCTCTTTAATAACTTGAAATGCTTCTTCCCAGATCTCTTGCTACCTGAGCTATATTGCTATACCTGAGATAAATTGTCCACTGACCATACTCCTCTCTGGGTTGTTTTTATCTACTCCCCCATCCTCCCCACAATCTCTCATGGTGAAAATGGCATGGAATCTTCTGAAAAATAGCAGGACTTGTCTATCGGACAGGAAGGTCGTGAATTAATTTTGATACATTTTCAACTTGTTCCATTTTGGCTCTTCCCTTCTCTCTTAAAGGTTAGGTTTTTGCCCAGGGCCAGGAAATAAATGGAAGAACACTCAGCCCAAAAGACAGATTTTCCCCCAGACATGCTTATTCCACCTTCCCATAACTTGCTGAGCCAAGATATATATGATGCCAGGGAATTACAACAGTTGAAGCCCAACAGGTTTAGGGACTCCACATTGAAAAGGCTGCTTTGACCCACCCTTCCCCTCATTGTATGAGGCTGTTAAGGGATGGGGGTGGGGGGAAACTTACTGTTTTCTGGCTCATTTTTCCTGTAAACAACATAGATCACATCTCCAGTTTGTAAAGGGCAAGTCTGCTTCTTCACCACCTTCTGTTTATTAATAACTGTTCCGTTAGTGCTGCAAAGGGACGCAAGACAACATAGGTGGGATTAAAGAGGGGAGGGGCAGACAAGAGCAAATAAGCTACTTCTGCAAAGAGGTTTGGGGGACTGCCAGCTGGGTCATCAGTTGGGACCTGCGGGGTTGCTAAAAAGGCTAGGCCGCTGTTTAAGTGAGAAACAAAGTTCTGCAAAGTATGGTGATGGGAGACCTTGTTGGAGAGCAGGCCATCACCTCCTAGAAGCACCATCTCTCTCGGCCTCCCCAAATCAGGAGGATTCTGGTGGCGTCTTTTCCCACAATTTTTATTCAAAGACATCTGCTTTTATGAGCTGCAGTTCCCTTCCTCTGATGCAACAGAGTGGCCACCGATGTAGGGTTTAAATGGGGGAAAGGGCTGGGAGTGGGGAGAAGACAGGATGGTTATGTAGATGCAGGTTCCGTGGGAGACAGATTACAAGTACCTTATCCATGAACAATGGCAAGGTGCTAGAAATCCATGGGGTTCATTGAGAGTCTGCTCTCAACAGTTGCTGCTTGTTGAGTCTCATTGTGGTTGAGACCCACTCTAGTGCCCAACTCTTACTCCACTAGCTCACCCAAGATCATGCTGCAAAATCAAACCTCTTTTGAGATGCCATCAGTCTTCTACCTACAGCGGCTGATATAGGTTAATATCACTGTTAATACAATGGAGTTCATCCACCCAGCTCATTTCCAAAGGGACTCAGAAAAACCAAGCCTAAGAAACATGCAAGAATCATTTTCATCCACAGAACCACAGAAAAGGATTGGAACAATGCTGACCTGGTATCCTGCAGCGAAACCTGACCAGATTTTTCATCCACTGTTATTTTACAGTGATCCCCAGATACCAGTTTATTGCCGGGAAAAGATAAATCACAACCTTGGAGAGAGAGAAAATGAACACCATTAAATTTCCTTGAGTCTTAAGCCTGATGGAAAGGAATTGCCTTTTTAAACAAGCCAGTTGTTTAACCAAAGATTTGAAGTTGACTCTTTTGGAAAACGATTGTAACTGGAATCAATTGTGTTCAGATAACACGAGAAGAGAAACTGAAAAGAAATGTTACAAAAGGTCTTCTCCCAGATATATGGAGAAGGTTCAGAGTGGGCTCTCCCAGCTTGGGCATGTCTCACTGAATCATGGTTTAGCATCACATATGAACCCAACCAGGAAGCACCTGGATGAGAGTCTTGAACCAGGCAACCCATTCAACTCCTTTGCTAAGGTGTCTTTTGGACTGAAAGGTAACAAGCTAAGATTCTACTTTTACTACTTAGTCATTAGGATATAAAAGCTTAAAAGCTGTAGATCAGATCAAAAGATCCTCTACTGCAGCATTTTATATGAGCTAAGCATTCCTAACAAGATGTCATTAAGAAGGTAGAGAAAGAAAGGTTTTGTCTCGACCCCTAAAACGGTCCTCAGGGATTAACTATCTCCATTTCTATGAAGCAAAAGCCTTTTGCAGACTCATTCTCCAAAAATTTATGGGATCCTCTTTAAAAGCTTCCTAAGAGGCCATTTTTGTTCAAATGTTTTGCTGTGGATTTACGATGCACACACACAAACAGAATCCAAAATTTCCACCTCCAAAGGCAGGGGACTATTACTTTAATAACCCCTGCCACAAAATTGGACTTGGTAAATCATGCTGGATTTACATCAGTGTGAAATTTCAGTCTGTAAAAGAGCTAAGGACCCTGTTTGTACTGACCATTATATTTGCCCAAATCCTGTTCACCTTCAAAAAATGGCAGGTCTACGTATTAAGCAGAGAACAAACATCAAAGCAATATGCCAGTAAATTCACTAAAAAATTCTGCCCATGAGTCTTGCTTTAAAGACATACATTGAAAACCCAGCATGCAAAAATGAGTGAAGGGTATCATGATTCTTTCTCAAACTTTCCTGCCTTTAAAGCAACATCCGTGGGAATGTTTGAGGCACGATACTCATGAAAGGACACGAATGAATTTTTATGTAACTTTCCAGCAAAGGGCTGGGCGCCACACTCATGAACTTTGGCTGGGCTGCGACATACACTTCATACACCCAACCCCTTTCAGCACCACACCTTTCTTCCTTCCAATCGTCCACTCCCTCTTCAGCAACAAGACATGGGGCTCGGCTTGTTCCACCCCCAGCCGGATCAGTTTTCCCCAAGGTTGTGGCCGTCGGATCGGCTGTATCTTCCCTCCAACGTCCATGTGCGCCATCTGCACTCACATCTGAAGAAGGGGAAACAAGGGAAGGGAGGAAACATCCGGTGAGCGCTGTGTCGATGCGGGAGAGGTTTCCCTTTGAGTTCCAGTGCGGGGCATATTAAGAAGAAACTAAGCCCTATTAAATGTGGTTGAAAAGATGAGCTTTTGGGGAGCAGGACTGGGAGGTTTTTTAAAGTAGGATTTCCAAGGAAGTGTGTGTGTGTGTGTGTGTGTGATATGCTTATGGTTTTTTTAATAAGCCTTTACATTGTTATTTTTTGTTTCTAAATTGTTGTGCTGCTCTTTTTTGCTCTTTTTACGTTTGTAAGCAGCCCAGAGTCATAAATATGGCATGGGCAGCTACATACATTTGAATAATAATAATAATAATAATAATAATTCTATCTTACCTTTTATAAACATATCTAATACTAATAATATAAAATAAATAAAATAGTAATAATATTTTTATCCTACCTTTTATAAACATATCTAATACTAATAATATAAAATAAATAAAATAGTAATAATATTTTTATCCTACCTTTTATAAACATACCCAATAGCCCCCGGCTCCTATTTTCCCCACAACAAC